TAGGGGACAGGGTTTACATTGTTCTTCTTAAAATACTTAAGCTGAATAATTTGCTCATTTATTGTCAACTCTTCAGCTTCATTTAAACAATACACAATTTTCAGTATATCTTAATGTATATATTAGTAATTGTAAAAATTCTCAGGATTCAATGATCACCACTTATTTGGGAGGTAATCTTGGACATTATTTATGTTTGAGAATGCATTTTTTTTCACGTTTAAACCTCATTTTTTCAACAAACTTATTAATGCTAACAGAGGAAAAAATAATCTATTAGGGTAAGTTGCTAGTTCCTATAAGTTAAGGCAAACTATGAATCATAATAAGTTATTTTAAAACATTATTTCTCCCAAATTTCCAGAAATTGATAGAAACATTTACCTAGAAAATTTCTTTATTTTCCTTACTGTAATTTTTTTTCATTTATTTATAAAATTAAAAATAGTGCAGCCATGTTAATGACATAATCAAACAGTACTTAATGATTTTAGGTACAATATCTTCCTTCCATTTACTCTCACTTCCAGACCCAGTATCCAAATATACTCATGCTTTGCTATTTCCAATTTTAACTTCTGATGATTATTAATATAATTAGACATGTTGTAATTTTTTCTTTTTCTTTCTTCACTTCTTACCATATGACATTTATTAACAAGAAACAATATAGTTGAGAAATGTAATTAACACTTCTCATTCCTTCCCTCTTGACTTTGCTGTTATTTTTGGTTTTCCTTTTGTTTATTTAACTTTAAGTAAGACAATTAAAACTCCACTGCTTATTTCACCAACTGTAGATGTTATTTGGAGAGGATTTTAATTTACATGGCTAATTACCAAAACTAAAACTTTCATGGATTAGTACCTTGACAGCTCTACAGAAACAAGGAGAGTAAAGGTGGTCAGATGGGACACCTCAATATTGCAGGGTTGTTTTTTTTCCACACTTACCACTCTATAGAAAAACTCACATTTTACTTTTTAAAATTGCAAATAGGAAACTTAGGTATTTCAAATAGTCAGAAACTATTTGGGATTTCTGGGTATATTCTGACCATAGGAAGCAGATTAGGACTACAGAAAATACTCAGAATTGAAATCCTTTCTCAGAGTCTGAGTAATGCCACACTTCTGAAAAGATGCCATATACTTCATTAGCTTAACTGGGAATAAAGGAGCTTAACTATAAATTGACTTTGGCTGATAAAAATATATTCCTTTAACATAGAACTAGGAACAGTTGGCTAATACTTAATTCTTATTTCAAACATACATATTTTGATGAGGCTTAGACTTTTTCAGTTTAGGAATGAATACAAGTAATATATGTGAAGAGAACCAACCATTGGGAAGTTATGTGTGTGTGTATGTGTGTGTCCACGCATAAAAGAGAGAAAGATGAAGAAAGTGTGCATGAGGGAAATGAAGCAGGGATAAGTTTAGTGAGTGTTTTGTTTGTATGAAAGAAACAACAATTAGTTGGGTGTAATGAAGTTACTTGGATATTGATTTGATATTTTCATGTTTCTGAATTCACAGTTAGAGAATAGAATATTAGTTAAGTTGCTCCTACCAATAGTTGATTGTTTTCAGAAAAGTATGGTTAGTCTTTAGAAAGCGTGCTAGTGAACTTGAAAACCCCTAAGATTTATATAGTATCTAAATTATTGGTCAATAATCATCCTTAATTGTGATTATTCTCATGAAAATAAGTATTGCACATGATAGTTTAATATCAGTATTCTTTTTAGCATTTCAACAGTATGCATTTATACTGAGAATTGAAACTATTGCTTTTGCAAGACATAAATGATGGATTTCAATGTTCTGTCACTTGAAAAGAAATAATATGAAATATCATTGAAGTATTTCCTCAGAATGTGAAGTTGTCAGATACTAAGAGAGATTTTTATTTTCCTTTAGAATTACCACTTACATATTGGGGCCCAGGGTTGCAAAAATTTAAAGTGGTGTTTCCCAAAATATGTTCTAAAGATATTAGTTCAAAGAGATGTTAATAAATGGCAATTGTACACACAATGCCATGTCTTTAGGGAGTCATTACACAAATTAGCATACTTAAGTCTCTGAGAAGAGATGAGAGGTGGGAGGGAAAGGGAGAGAAAAGGGAAATTGCATGGAAATGGAAGGAGACCCTCAGGGTTATACAAAAGAACATACAAGAGGAAATGAGGGGAAAGGGAAAAATAATACAAGGGGGAGAAATGAAGGTCAGTAGAGGGGGTAGAGAGAGAAGAGGGGAGGGGAGGGGAGGGGAGGGGGGACAGTAGAGGATAGGAAAGGTAGCAGAACACGACAGTCACTAGTATGGCAATATGTAAATCAATGGATGTGTAATTGATGTGATTCTGCAATCTGTATATGGGCTAAAAATGGGAGTTCATAACCCACTTGAAGCAAAGTGTGAAAGATGATATATCAAGAACTATGTAATGTTTTGAACAACCAACAATAAAAAAAAAAGTCTCTGAGAAGATCTTCCTTGCTTTAGATCAACTTTTTAACACTTTATTTATTACCATGATTCCCAAATTGATCTGTACAAAAATATTTTCATTTATCCAACATATATATTATTGCTTTTTCATTCTTCATTTTTTTCCAACATACAGATTATTCATATAGGAGTTAGTAAATTGTGTGTCACTTACTTCCTTTTTAAAATAAAGTTTTATTGAAACATTTATGCCCACTTGTGGCTTTTATGCCATAATGGAGGAGATGAGAGACTGCAACATAAACTTATGGCTGACAAAGTGTATATATATTGCTTATCTGGTTCTTTTCCAATAGGAAAAACTTTTTACAAGTGTTGATAGCAAAATAAAATACCACTGGACATCAAATTGGGAAACACCAGCTTACAATACCTATTATAAATTTTGAAGACCATTATAAATTAAGTACTTATAACTACATAATATATAACTAATTTTTTCATTGTTATTTATGTATTTTTAAATTTGTTCTGTTTATACATGATAGCAGAATGCATTTCAATTCGTTGTCCACAAATGGAGCACAACTTTTCATTTCTCTGGTTGTACATGATGTAGATTTGCACCACATGTGCATTCATACACATATCTAGGTAATGATATTTATCTTATTCCACCATCTTCCTACCCCCATATCCCCTCCACTTCCCTCCCTCCCCTTTGCCCTATCAAAGATTCTCCATTCTCCCCATGCGACTGCCCACTTCGTCATTATGTGTCAACATCCACTTTTCAGAGAGAACATCCAGGCTTTGGTTTTTTGGGATTAGCTTACTTTGCTTAGCATGATATTCTCCAACTCCATCTGCAAATGCCATAATTTTATTCTATTTTAATGTTGAGTAATATTCCATTGTGTATATGTACTACAGTTTCTTTATCCATTCATCTATTGAAGTGCATCTAGATTGCTTCCACAGTTTAGCAATAGTGAATTTTTAAGTCCTTAGGGTATAGACAGAGGAGTGGGATAGCTGGGTCAAATATTGGTTCCATTCCAAGCAGGACTCTCCATACTGCTTTCCATACTGGTTTCACCAATTTGCAGTCCCACCACGAATTTATAAGTTACTTTTTCTCTACATACTCACCAACACTTATTGTTGCTTTTATTTATAACTGCCATTCTGACCAGAATGAGATGAAATCTTAGAGTAGTTTTGATTTACATTTCTCTAATTACTAGAGACGTTGAACATTTTTTCATATATTGTTATATTTGTTGATTGATTGTATATCTTTTTCTGAGAAGTGTCAGCTCAGCTCCTTAGTGCATTTATTGATTGTTTTTGTGTGTGTGTGTGTGTTTGTGTGTGTATGTGTGTCTGTTAAGTTTTTTGAGTTCTTTATGGACATCAAATTGGGAAACACCAGCTTACAATATCCATTATAAATTTTGAAGACCATTATAAATTAAGTACTTACAACTACATAATATATAACTAATTTTTTCATTGGCGATTACTGTCTATCTGATGTGCGTGTGGCAAAAATTTCCTCCCAAAATGTAGGCTCTATCTTCACCTCATTGATTGTTCTTTTGCTGAGAACAAGCTTTTTAGTTTGAATCCATTCCATTCCTTGATCCTTGATTTTATTTCTTGCACTTTATGAGTTTTATTAAGGAAGTTGAGGGCCTAATCCAACATGATGAAGATTTGGGCCTACTTTTTCTTCTGGTAGATGTAGCCTCCCTTGTCTAATTTCTAGGTCCTTGATACACTTTGAGTTGAGTTTTGTGCATGGTGAGAGATAGGGAATTAGTTTTATTTTGCTGCATACGGATTTCCAGTTTTCCCAGCACCATTTGTTGAAGAGGAAATCTTTTCTCCAATATATATTTTTGGTGCCTTTGTCTAGAATGAGGTAAATGTTTTTTATGTGGGTTTATCTTTGTGTAATCTATTCTGTACCATTGGTCTAAAGTCTACTTTGATGTCTATACCTGCTATTAACTAATTTTAATAATATAAAACTCAAATAATGTGACTTTGATACGTATCAATGTCAATTCTTTTGAAACTATTAGAATGCAGGTGAACTAATTAATGCATATTTTTGAAGTTTATCAAATTAATGTAATTTATATAAAAATGTAAAGAAATATTTAGGATGGAGACAATATAAACATTTCAAATATTTTCTAAAGCAGAAAGAAAAACTTCATATCAGAACATTTTATAGCCTTCATCTTAAAAAACACAACCTCTATAAAATTTAAGGATGTATTATAATCATCTTTTCTCATTTTCCCCATATCAAATTCTATGTACAGATTACTATGTCTTTTCATTTTTAATTTTCAGGCACCTTGCTTCCTCTTCACATTCAAAGTTAAGTATTGTAAGGTCTAAAACCATGAGTCCTAACATATATTTTAATTACTAGATCAGATGCTCTATAGGTGGCCAGACTAAGATGTCAATTCTTTTGAAAGTATTAGAATGCAGCTGAACTAATTTCTGAATTTTTTTCTAGGAAGAACTGAACCCCATTGTTGTTACTCCACCAATCCAAGCCATTGATCAGGACCGGAATATTCAGCCACCATCAGATAGGCCCGGCATCCTCTATTCCATCCTTGTTGGTGCGTATTTCTAATGTTTTATATTATCAGTAATCACTGTAGAATTATGATGAAATACTTTCAAACCAAAGAAAATCCTTTTAATGATAAAGTTTCTTATATTGAAATTGATTGTTGCATTTATATATAAAAATTTAGATGTAATAATATAAAAGTCTTTCTTCTTCATAGTTTTAGAAAAATATATTAAAAAATTTATAATACTTTTACAAATGGAGCAAAATAAGTCGTTAACACATTGGTAGTTTTATCCATCACATCTCATAAAGTGTTCTTTAGGAATTTTTTTTAAAAATCAAAGGAAATCATATTTTTTGTTCTACTTATATATTGCCATTGATTGGACACTATATAGGATTCTGATAAAATACAACTGAATTAAATAATGACAATTTTGGAGACATATGGGAGAAGGAATAAGATCATGAGTAGCCTAAGGGTTTATGATGCATTATATGCTTGACAATTTTTCTTGGAAAAATTCCACAAAAGGTGTCCTAATTCATATATATATATATATATATATATATATATATATATATATTGCTAATTTTGCAAAAAAGAAAAAAATGATAATTTGATTATGCTATTCTTAAACTTCTTTTGATAAACTATGCATGTTGCTGATTTACATGGTTTTTAGGTTTTAGAGGAAAAGATGCATTAAAGATGAACCACACATCTCTTAAGAAGGCCTGCTTTTAAATTGTGCTTGGAAAATAACTTCAGTGGAGTTCAATACTCCCTTTAAATTTTATTGTCCCCTGGACTCACAGCATGTGTGCTTATGTTCATGCACAACGACCAGTAGAAATTAGACAGATTCTATACTATTATACCATGTTGTGCTTAAAAATTCTATCTGTAAATAAATTCAAGTAATTCTGTTAAAATCTTTTAGTATTTATTTCTTACAAATGTAAGACTCTTTTAAGTTTATAGAGGTTTTTATATAGATAACAGGAAATAATGTTTATTTCATTAATTGAAGGCTTGGTAATATCGCGATCAATATGCTAAATGCAGTACACTCAGAGATGAGAGATAAAATGTTCTAGGTTAGGAAGAGGAGGAATTTGAGGATAGTAAGATGTCAAAAAGTAAATTAAAACACATTGCCTCATGGTAATATAAATATAATTTGAACCACGTATCCTGTGGTTTCACGAGAAGGCAGTATTGAACATTTCTAAAAGGATTGTTTTGGAAAAGTCATTTCAGCAGAAAAATTCTGGTTTCCAGTTGAAAATGGAAGAAAAATATCTAGGTAAATTGTTTAGCATATGCAAAAGATAAAGGACAAATTTTAAAAATAGACTAAGAGAACAATTCTATTTAAAGTGGACTATCATTGAATGGCATTCAAAGATTTTTTCAGTTTAAAAAATTACATTTGTATTGTGTTTCAGAAAATCAGCATCCAGTCTATGATGTAAGGCAGTTCACTATACAATACACATAGAAATACACAATAGAGCACAATACACAATAGAGAAAAAAGTTAATGCTCAATGTGTAGTAGTTGGTGATGTTATTATCATCAGAAAAAAAGCATATTATCTAAATCATATCAAACTCATGAGTAGAAGCACACAAACAAAAAACACTTACCTGATCAAAGAGTATTTCCTTAGGTCTGATTTCATTTAGTATGTAAAAACCCTTGATTTTTCTTAAGTCCTTTCAAATAATTGTGAGCATATGTCTTCCTCATGGCTAGCCCTTGGTTACCATGTAGAGGGCTCCTGTCCTGCTTCAAGACCTTATAGATAGTTTCTGTATACTAGATGTGAAGATACAGATGTTGACGTCTGATAAGGTCATGTAAGAATAATTGTTGGCCTTACTATCATTAAAATCAGTGGTGGAATTATTACCACTGAAATTGATCACTGCAATCTAAGTCAACTTTGCCACCTTGGTTTGTTATTTTCTATGGTGTGTTTAATGACATTTTGTGCAAAATAAACAATGCAAGGATGTGATTCGTAGGGCTAATCAAAGTGATAGATATTAGAATAATAATTTATAATTACTCCTTGCTTTAAAAATTGGGTCTTAAAATTTTTTTCTCCTAATAAGTTGAATTTTTTAAGGGGTAAGTGAAACTCTGATTGACACCCAATCAATGGCCTTATCCAGCCTAACTATTAGGATGATTGGAATATATACTGCAGGAAGAAATTTTACAAAAAACAAAACAAAACAAACTCTAATGATAAATACAGATTTTCTGAATGAACTATAAATTTCCATAAAGCAAACATAAATTTAGATGGGCTGGACTGGATTTTTTTGGGTATTTATGATTTCAAAAACATCAAATTATAAATTTAAGAAAATTCCTCACTATTGTTTTACTCAGTACTATACATTAAAGTCACTATGGTTATGAGATTGGATGATAATTTTTAGTCATTTAAGGATATATTTCATATATATTCAGCATAAATAGTCAAGTAAAGATCTCTGAAAATTTACTGCTCACTACCATTTGAATGAATGTTCCACAAACATCCCTACATATAGACTTGGTCCCTTGTGTTGTAGTTGGAGGTTCTGTGGACTCCTAAGAACTTCATAGGGTTGTTCCTAGGCCATAAGTATGTCCTTCAAAGTTACTGTTACCATTAATTTCTTCCTCTTTCTGCTTCCTGGATCAAGATCTGAGCACTGGCTCTGACTTGGTCAGGCAACACTATCATCTACTATCCTCATTAGGGGCCTAAACCTGGGGTCATCCAACATTGGACTTAAACCTCTGAAATTGTAAGCTAAGGTTATTTCCTTTTGGAGACTCAACATGGTGGCGGGCAGGGAGGCAGCGCTTTCAGTACCTCCTCAGCCACACAGACAGAGAGACACATCAGAACGTTCGGATTCTACCTGCTGAGAAACTCCCAGCAAAATTCAGCTGAAGTGAGACCTAGCTGGGGAATTTGGGATTATTTGAGACGACAGCTTGCTCAGGACGGGTGAATCTTGGCCACCCTGTGCAGAGGTCCTGGCTGCCGCCGCTGCCTGGCAACCAGCGCAGAAGGAGGCGTTTCAGCACTGCCAGATACTGTGTGCAGCATAGAGACCCTATGAAGAGGTTGCTAACCAAGCCTTCATGAAACAGCGGACCAGAACTGAAACCGAGACTGGAACAGACCAGAGACAGGCAAAACCCACCCCTCCCATTGGACACTCCGGCAAGGAGTCTGGGGCCCGCCATAGCAGAGAGCTGACGTCACCAGAGTTCTGTGGACGGGATCCCTTCCCAGTGGAATCGGCTTTAGCAGGTGTGTGACTCCCATCCCCACCAGATACATACAGCTGGGAAACCTCAAAAATCTCGCCCCAGAGCTCCGTGGGTGGAACTGTAGGGGCCAAGGGAAGCAGAGGGGACTCCCGACCCCCAAGTCCCCTTACCACCAGCGGTGACTCCCAAGGCCTTAGCTGCCAGCTCCCGGGGGTGTGGCCACAGAAGGGATCCAGACAAATTAAACTGACTGTGTGAGCGGGGCCTGGCTGTCTGGCAGGAGGAAGGGGGGGAGGGGCCGGAGAAGAGAAATGGCTCTGGACTAACAGGATTGGAGAGATGCCCAGTAGGGGAAGAGAAGCCTGCCGACACATAGAGGGCAGAAGCTCAGCTCAGAGGGCACAGCTCCGCCTACTGGAAGAGAAGAAAATAGAACTCTAAGACTTCATTTATCTTTTTTTTTCTTCCCCTTTTCAATTTTTATTGTTCTTTCCATTCTCCTTTATTCTACCCAACTTTCTCTCCCTCTTTCTCTCTAAGGACTCCTTCCTTCCCCTTCCCCCTAATTTTCATCCAAAGCATTACGACTTTCATTACGTGTAATTTTCTAAATGCAAATAGGTGAATGTTCTGAGGCTGTCTATAGGGCTCCTAAGTACCTAGCTATTACCAAATACCCTGATCCATTCACCTGTTAATATCCCCTTTCAGTAGAGCAATCTTCCAAAGTAACCAAGACATACTAACCTTCATAACATCATAGCACCCAACCTAAGCATAAAGTCCTAAGACCAAACAAAAGATCACTATATGCCTACAGAATCCGTAAGCCTTTTATGAATCGAATGAATCAGCATTAAATTAAAATAAAGCTCAACATCTCTAGACATAGTCAACCACCACAAAGGAGAGACCACAGAGATATACAAAACCAAAACAAATTTATAGGAGAAAACAGAAACACAGTGCCGCAGTCTGGCTGGGCACAAAATCACGAGCCACTCAAGCAGGAACAAACTTTATTTTTCGAAACTGCTGCCAATGCCCCGTAAGCTCCCGGGAAGATTGCCTATCAATGCACGTGGCGTTCTCCCGGCTCCCCGGAACCCAAGAGGAAGTTCCTCCTCCGGAATTCCCTCCTACTGCACTTCCCCAACCAATGGGAACTCTCCAGGAGTCCCGTAGCAGGCCGAGGTGGACAGCAGGAGTCCAATATCCATATGAATGCAAATCTTAACATAATCATATCATCTCAATGGCTTGCTGGCATCACCTTTCAACCAAAAACGCCATGCATCATATTACTTGGCTGTGGCTCTTAGCAACACAGCAGTTAAACAGAGTTGGAAAGTAATGTGAGCACCATGAAAAAAACAAGGGAAAAAAGGATTACAAACAATGCAGGACAACTTAAATTTACAGGAGAAACCTAGAGGCATCAGAAAAATGGACAGAGAAAGAATTCAAGTCATACCTGACTCAGATGGATTGGAATCTTAAAGAAGTCATTAGACAGCAAGTCCAAACAATGAAAGAATACTTTGAAAATGAATTACATAAGCTGATTCAAGAAGCAAAAAATGAACTCTATCAGGAGATAGAGATTTTTAAAAAATCAAACAGTAATCTTAGAAATGCAGGAAACCATAAACCAAATCAAAAACTCAAATGAGAATATTACAAACAGACTAGATGAAATAGAAGTCAGAACATCAGATAATGAAGACAAAGTTTATCAACTCGAAAAGAGTATAGT